AAATGCATATGTCTAATAAAATTCAGACCTATATTATGCCCTAAGGCCATATCTAAACCCGAATGTGTTCTATAAGTCATATTGTGACATTATCACATAGAGCTATATTTTAATCTCCAAATCTGCTGTGTTAACCCCAAGCCACGCTGTATATACCCCGATACGGTATACATAAAAAAAAGAGCTGAAAGATCCATGTTTAGGGCATATGGGACAAGGGGTTAACCCTTAGTGGAATTACAACTGAAGACAAAAAATCAAACGATATGCCGTGAATTAAGCTATATTTGAACATATAGGATGTAAATCCATAAAAAAAAAAACTAAACAAAAAAGTATATCTAAAACTTAACATTTATTAAAGTTAGCAATAAAAAGTGATAAAAATAGATTACGTGCCCTTGAAAGCACAGGATAGCATCTCGATTACTAAGATATAGACAGCTCAGTTCTCTTACTCAAATCTGATTTATAGTATATTATCAGTGTGCGCGAAGCCGGTATCTGGGTACAGTGTGATATTTGATACACCACTTGGTGATGCTAATTTGTTACTTTTTTGTTACGAAAAAATGTGTAAAAAACTGAAAACATTTGTATCTTGTAATACCTTTTTTTATTGGACTAACAGAATTTTTTAATGACAAGCTTTCGGGAGAACCTCCCTTTCTCAAAAATTCTGTTAGTCCAATAAAAAAGGTATTACAAGATACAAATTTTATCTGTTTTTTTTTTACATCTACATCACTGGACTAATACGGCTACAATCTCTACTTGAACGCTATGGAAGATTATAAAATATTTAGTTTATCTCTCATGCACTTTTTATCGCTAACTTTAATAAATGTAAAGTTTTAGATATACTTTTTTATTTTATTTTTTGATGGATTTACATCCTATATGTTGAAATGTTGGTTAATTCAGGGCATATCTTTTGCTGTTTTGTCCTCTGTTGTTCCCCGACACAGTGCTGTAAAAATTACCTCCAAATACGGTGTATTAAGCTGTCACCTTTGCAATTATATAATTAAAGGTGTTATTTCTATCTCTGTATTACAGCGGACTTGGGTCTAACAATGAAATGCTACCGTAATTAAACCCAGGGCTTTTCAGGACCCCGCTAGGGAGGGACCCCCTTAGCAACACCCCTGAACAGATTGCAACTTTTGAATAATTAGACCTAATATGTTTTATGGTTGAGCAAAATAATGAAAAAAAATGTTTTCCATTGTTTTACTATATAATTAAATTTATGGATAACAATTGAAAAAAAAAAGGAGATTAGGAAAAAGTGAGAAATAAAACAACTAACCGTCAGAAAATTGGGCAGACTAGATGGGCCAAATGGTTCTTATCTGCCGTCACATTCTATGTTTCTATGTTTCTATGTCATGAAAATGAAATTATCGGATAGATTAATTGAATTCAAATGGGGTACACTGTCTGCCTCTCGGATACTGACAGGGTAAAAGATACTGATTGCTCCCTCTCATCCTTCAACCACCAGCCTGCTTAACTCAATAATTGCAAGGCTGGTAACAAAAAAAAAATCAGCTTACTGGCAATGATACAGTTAAATATGCTACCTTAGAGAATATAGCTATTTACAATGCAGAATTTACCGTCTAGGGTCCAGGGGTTACACAGAGGCCCCCGAACCACAAACCATTTGCTTGCCCCAATTACCATCCCTGTGTGAAGAAAGAAAAGGAGGCACTGCACTGGGACCCAGCTTAGGACCCCTTCTCTGGTTTCACACCATTACACACTATTCCTAATTTTACAAAGTTAGATCTTATATTTTCCATCCATTCTATACATGTCAAACCTGGGTTTTGAAGCTTGTTATCTGACTTCAGCTGCAGAGCACTCGCTCCCACTGCACACAGCAGACAAATT